GCGGCTGCAGGGCCAGTACTCAGCTCACAGGGTAAAACTCATCTCTTTAACATAGAAAAATCTTTTCAACTTTTTACAAAATGTTTGGTTATTTTCATGCACTCATCAGTTCTTGCAACTTTCTGTTTCAGGATCTGCGACGAGTTAGGCAGGTTACAGTCTCAGTAGGCTCATCATCTTCTCATAGGTTCAGAGAGCAAGCAGAGGTCCCTGTAGAGGTAAGCGTCATGCAGCGAGTTAATCTGAGGTAAAGGAAAGAGTTTCGTTTTTCTTAAAGACACATTCCACCCAAAAGTGAAATTTTGTCTGACATATTTTCCAGAGTTGGATAAGTGGGGAAAACTACTTTAACCAGCCCAGTCGTTCTTCTGGCCGGGCTGTACTCCTTTAGCTTAGCATAAAACACAGTGAGTGAATGGGACCAGCTAGCATTGTGAGAAAAAAAGACCTTTTGTGACCTTGCACATTTCAGAGAAATGATTATTTAGGTCACCAAGCAGAATTTGTATCACTACTGAGTGATTTTAAGGACTTGTTTTCTCACAATGCTAGTTGGTCCCATTCACTTACTGTGCTTAATGCTAAGCTAAAGCCAAAAGAGTACTGCCAGGTTAGGAGAATAACTAGACTGGTTGCAAATGATTTTTTCCCACTTATCTAACTCTGGGAAATATGTCAACAGGCACATTTTCACTTTTGGGTGCAATGTCTCCTTAAACTGCACTGGAAATTCAGCACAGAGGCTGATTATAAGGCCCTGTCCACACGTAGCCGGGGATCTGCCAAAACGTAGATATTTTTCTACGTTTTGACCAGTCATCCTCACGAAAACGGATCTTTTTAAAAACTCCGGCCAAAGTGAAGATCTGCATTTTCTCTGTTTTGGGTGTCTGCGTGTGGACAGACAAAACCGGAGTTCTAAGGTCCGCAACGTCACTTTCCGCAACAAAAAAATGCTGACATCACGTGTGCGACCTGTGTTTACACTAGCCGACATCATGGAAGCCCTCAGAGCTGCGCTCGCTTTATCAATTGTCCAAGCGCTTTTTGCTTGTTTGTTTTTGCAAGCGGAATTACTGCTCCTTGTGGAAGACCACAGACGAAGGACGAGGTTAAGAATGGGGGAAGTACTTCCGCCTACAGGTCTGGCATGTCCTTAACAACGTATTTATCCGGGTACTTGTGGACAGAGTTTTTTTTTAAACGAGGTGGTGTGGATGCAAGTTTTTGGAGGGGCGGATATTCGTTTTTAAAAACCCCCGGCTACGTGTGGACTAGGCCTAAGAAGGCAGAGGAGTTTTTTTTGTTTTTGTTTGATTTGATCAAGACTAGAATGATGTAGCAAGGTTCCGGTCAGCTAGGACAGCTGCATCAGAACCAGAGACTCGGAAAGGCTTGGTTTAAGAGCAGAACACCTTCTGCTTCAACCTTTTATGAGTTTTTTCCTCCATTCTCTGCCTGTTTAAATATAATTTTTTAGTATTTACTTTAGGATGAGCTGCTTTAGTAAAACATTTGTGATCAGTGTTATGAGGCCGTTGTAATCCTACATTTTTCTGCTGGATTGCTCAAACTCAGGTGTCACACTGGTTTTCTTCTCCTCCTCTGTATTTGCAGGAGATGTCTGCTGCTGGGCGCTGCAGCAGCAAGTTGGCGAATCTCTCTGACTACCTGTTAGAGATCAACAAAGCTCTGCTCTCCATGGCTGACAACGAGCTGCTCCTCAACTCCTCTGAACTCAGCGGGGGGCTTTATGAAGACTTTTCTAGTCAGAAGGACACGCTGAAGGTGGGACTGGTTTCTGCATTTATTCTGCAAAATCAAAAGTCGCCATGCAGAAATTCTGCAGAAATCAGTGTTGACGTTTGCTTTTATCCCCAAAAATTAACAACTTGTTGGTTTCTTTTCCCACAGAATATTAAAGAGAATCTGGAGCATTTGGGCGAGCAGATCACAACAATTCATGAGCGTCAGCCGGAGGTTATCCAGGACGCTTCCCCTGAAGAGGTGGCCCAAATGGGAGATGCCCTCACGCAGCTCAACGCCGATTGGGACCGGCTAAACCGCATGTACAGTCAGCGCAAAGGGTACGCAAGCTACATTCAGCTTTAAACAACAACTGAGCAAAACAAGCAAGCTGCTGTTTCCAGTTTAAGTACGCATCTGAGTCAATGAGGGTGTGTGTTTGGCTGGGGCTGCAGGGCGAGGGGGTGCCGGCTGTCCACTTCTCAGGAGACGGCAGATTTGTTGAAACTGACCTTGATTAATGTCGGAGGAATTCCTCAAGCATAAACAATCTCACGCCTGCCCACATTCATTCCCAGATGTAAATGCGCAGACAGTGGGTGACATTGACCAGTATCAGCACAAAGTCGGGCTTCATGCGTCCTTGTTTCCTTGAGAGCAAACCGGTGACCGAGGAAATCTGTAGATGGCATCCAAACGATGACGAGCACCGTCTGCATCCCTGTTTTTTATTCAAAAATGCATTTCCTCAACTGGAACCTGCAGGATGACGATGTAGAATAAAAAAATCTGAATTTTTGTATAATTTTTGAAATAATGAACCTTCTTGTCAATATTTCTTTATTCAGCAGCAACTCTGACCTTTATTGTGTCCTTGGGGCATTTTGATTGTTGCGGATTAAGTTCCTCTGACTGTTTATATGGTTCACTAATTAGCTTTTTTTTTATTATTATCAATTGAAGTCATAAACTCAAACAAATGACAGAGTAGTTAATCCATATCAACCAGTAAATGTGTTAAAGTTAAGTTTTAAAAATGTAGTTTTTATGTAATTAAAGGTGCTGAGCACTCTTAATCAGTGGTCTCCAGTAGGATGCACCAGAATCAGTAAGTATAATTCAGCAGGAGGAGAAAATGGCTTCAGGCGGCAGGTTGTGGGGTCTTCGCCTCCTATTGGATAACAGCAACACGACTCTACCACTGACTCAGTTTGCTCTGCAACGTGGCTGTTTTATCTCCTCAAATAACACAGTCCTGGAGGAGTTCTGCTGTGTGGTCAAGATGCTAATGCTAACTGTTAGCTTCTACTGGCTGGGATGTTTCCTGGATGCTAAAACAACAGTCTTCCCAGTCAAGATGGGTGAGTCCATGAATATTAAGGGACAGTGTGACGTAGATCTATCAGGCGTTTCACCATCTATTTACTATCTGAGGCTAATACAGGAGATAGGTGTAGGAGACTATTTTCATGTTCAGCCTGTATAAAAAACTCACAGTGACTGCTTAATTATAATCAGATAAAAAATATTTTTCAGGGATCCACACCTGCCAGAAAACAAGTAACAAATAATATTTATTATCTTAGTTTTTTTAACGAGATCCAATAAAGTTTGTGTGAATTAGCAGTTGTTTTAGGTTCAGTCAGTAAATCTTTATATTTGTAAAAGTTTTTAAAATTCTGGTATTTTATTCCCACTTTATTTGGTCAAATCAGCCTAAAGCTGGCTAAATGTGACAGATATTCAGATTAGTCCTCCTGGTTTATTTTTAGATTTCCATAAAAAATATTTGGATCATTTCTTATTTAGCGTCTGGGCTAATTTCTGATCTGATCAAAAATCAAACAAAACAAACGCTCTGTTTCATTTTGAGTGATAATAACACTTTTATTACCCAATAAACCTGCTTCTGAGCTCATCTCTGGCCTGTTCTTTCTCCTCGTCGGGCTGCAGGAGCTTTGACCGTGCCACAGAGGAGTGGGGGCGGTTCCACTGCGCCCTGAGGGACATTTCTCAGTGGCTCACAGAGACGGAGACACTTCTGTCTGAAAGCGTCGGCCCAGACGGTGACCTGGACCTGGACTCTGCTCGGCAGAGCCAAGAGGTTGGTGATGCTCAGTGATCTGTGTGATTAATGGATGCTCTTCAGGAAACAGAACAAGTTTTTGTTTTTCAACGATGTGCTGGCTCCTCAGCTCTAAAAGCAAGACATCAGCGTGTGTTTATGTAATTAGCATCCAGAGTGCAGAAATTTTAGATTTGAGACAAAAGCTGTGAGATAATTAGTTACGTCAGACAAAAGGTGATTGCTTTTATTCCCCAAATGGACACGATACGTTTTAGGCATTAAATTGGTTCGTTGTTCGAGCAGAAATGAGAAGTGAAGAAAAAGACACGGAGGGGCCTTTAACTTTCATTTCCCAGGGGGATTAAATCCTCCAACTCGGCGGCGTTATCGCTGACAACGCCACCGCCTTTAACACCTTTATCGTTTTGATTTGCAAAGCTGGAGCCACTCTCCTGCCTGATTTTTCAGGTGTTTTCTCAGCAGCTGAGAACGAAACGAGGGATCAAGTGGAAGGGAACTGAAAGATCTATTAGCTGACTCATCCTTCTGCCACCTGTACACTCACTCACCTTTACGGTTTTGTCTCGCCACGTTAAATCTCCAGCAGAGGAACGTAGAGATTTAGCAGCTTAAATATGGAATCGCAGCAAATCACGCCGTTTAGTGATTCAACGTTAATGCTTGAGTGTGTGATTAGTCTGTTTGACTGAACCCTAATTTCACCGTTTTCATTTGTGTCTTTTAATTGTGTCTCAGGAGCTGGAGGACGGCCTCGCCAGTCACCAGCCCATCCTCGCTGGACTGACTCGCTCTGGGGAGCAGATCGTTGGGAAGCTTTCATCTCCAGATGGGCCCCTGCTGGAGGAGAAGCTGGAGATTCTGGGTCGGCGTTGGAGAGCCGTTAACCGCCAAGTTCTGGACAGACAGCGCAGGTATCCGCACGGAGGAGTTCTGCCATCACCGGCTGTTTATCCGTCCAGTCGATTAGTCTGTAGCAGCAATTTAAATGGAAATTTTAGGAATAGTCCTGTAACCTCGAGGAAATGTAGGTCCTATTCTGTGTGTGTGTGTTTGTGTGTGTGTAGGTTAGCTGGAGACGATCCAGCTCTGTCTGACCTGGTGAAGAGGAGTGAGGAGCTAGCTGTGTGGCTGGAACAGGCAGAAAACGCTGTTTGCTTCCTGCCTGTTTCCACTACTGACAAAAACCTTAAAGATCTCAAGGTACAACCAAACTAAGAAGCACGGTTACGTTTTATCCACCCACCATCCTCGTGGTGCTTGGACTCCTGGTTCTTGGTGAATTGAAGGATTTGTAACTTTTCCTTGCAGACTCTCGCTGAGGAAATGGACACTCAGAACGAACGTCTTGGTTGGCTGAACAAACACGCTCCCCACATCTTAGCTAGTCCCAGTTTGAGTCCTCAGGACAGAGACATGAATGTTGGGAAGCTGAGAGCCATCAACCTCAAGTGGAGCAAGGTGAAGCAAAGTTACACTTCCAACTTCTAAATGAGCTTTTTATTACTTCTAAGATGCTTAGACCTTCTGTCGCTACAAGCACCAGATTTTCTACTCTTGTTATATTTTCCTCCTTTTCCTGATGTCTTAAATACTTCCTCTCATTTTCCTTTGATCTTCCTCTTTGCAGGTGACTCACGAGCTGCTGGACAAGGTGGGGGAGGTGGAGGCCAACCTGCAGAGTCACACGGTGTTCCAGGAGGGGATGAACAAGCTGACGGATTGGGTCGTCATCACGAACCAGACCATCGCGACCCGAGGCCTGAATCCTGGCCAAGCTCAGGTAAGACAACTTGAATTCATTATAAGAACTAAAGTGCTCGAAAATCCATACATAATTTACTCAGATGCATCAAATAATTATTTTGTGACCTTGTCCCAGGCTCTGGAGGTGTCGATGAAGGACAGGAAGCAGGATCTGGAGGACCTGCTGGCTCATTCCATCGAGCTGCAGAGAGAACAGCAGCTGCTTCCAGAGGAGAAGGTGTATATTTTATAGCAGCGTAGCGCAATAAAGAGCATACTGCATTTAATTAGAACATACTGAACTATTAGGGCATCACTACTCCACCTGGGGTTATTTTGTGAGTTATTGTAGTTTGATTGTCTGTTGCAGAAATCTGGACGCACTCAGTTTGTGCTAACCTTTTGTTCTGTCGTGTTTTAAAGAGGAAAGTGGAGCAGCTGGCTGCTGATTGGAAAGTTCTAGACAGCCACCTGAGGGAATCTCTCCATGCACCCGTGTCTCCATGGACACATCATGTTGTACAACACCAGCAGCTTGGTAAAAACATAGCTAGGAATTAAAGGCATACTATGCAACTTTCACACATTTAAAACATATTTTCTTGAGTCAGTATAAGTTAAAATGACCTTTTGCAAGGATAATGAAACATCACTCAGTCCCCCCACCACCCTCTGTGGCCAGAATGTTGCACTTGCAACTTCAGAGTGGCATGTTGGACTTAGAGAAAGTGGAGCTGACATACCTGGTGCTGCAGTCTGCTTCCAGAAAGTTTCCTGCATGTTTTAGATCATGAACACAGCTGATTTGTTTGATTAAGTGATGAATCGCTCATGCAGAAGCTAATGAAGGCTGGGGAGACATTTCAGCATTTAGATTAAAGTGTTAAATAGACGAGGACAGTGAGAAGATTTGTTTCGCTTTGGTTTTTTAAAGTTCAAATGTGCAAAGAGGAGTTATGGAAAACATGTAGAAATGGTTTTATCCTGTTAAAATGTATTAGCCATTTGGATCTGGAATGAAAGGAAGCTTGAGTTACAGACTTCTGTATGAACCAGTTTGTTAAATTCTCTATGAAGTTAGGATGTAAAAAGTGCTTAAATATCCTGAAAGGTTCTTTTTCCTCATTCTGATGATGTTACCTTGGTTCCATCTCCACAAATGTCCCTTGACTCTTTAGTTTTTTATACTTAACACGCTTTAGTGAAACAGGAGGTGACTTCAAAGATCTAAAATTCAGATTGGGATTGTTGTGGATCCGTTGAAGTCATCTTTGATGCCCCATTGATCCTAATTCACGGCGATGCCCCTCTCCTCCAGAAGCCTCTGACACGTCTCACTGTATGATAATTTCTTCATAAAACATGTTACTGAGATTAACCTCTGTTCCTCTCCTCCCTCCAGGTGCTGCGGTGCCCTCCGCTGTTCAGATGGCCAGCTTGGCAAGTGAGGAGCCCCACCACCGGACCCCCCACACACCAGACACCGTGGCGCCCACCGACCTGAACCAAACAGCCACCGAACTGAACGACTGGCTTCTCCTCATCACCCAGATGCTCAAGTCTAATATAGTCACTGTGGGGGACACGAACGAGATCAGGACGACCATGGGGCGTCTTCAGGTGAGAAACGGACGAAGGAGAGGACAATAGTCTGCAGAATAAGAGTAAAAGGTCGTTCCAACGTTGGTTTTATTTGGTGCTTTTTAAAAAAAGAAGTCACTAAAGTTGTCTGAAAACTTAATCCAGTGATGTACTCTGGATTTGGGGAATTTAACTGCTTTTTTGGAAAGAGGGCTCATATTAATTAATCAACACTTAAAGGGACTTTAAAGAAGTTTGACAGCCAAAACATGTATAGAAATAATAAATGTCTTCTTCATACATTCTCCTGCAATGCCCTGGTCCTGTAGAATGAGCCCTGGCATTTTTACTGTGATTGTCTGTTTTTCTGTAAAATCACAGAAAAAGAGAGATGCTCGGGTCGAGCAGGCTGCTTCATGCTCGTTCACGCTCAGGCATCGCCCGTAGCATTTGCTATCCGTAGCTTTGGCAGCAGAGAGAGAGGCAGTGCCACTTTGTCGCTGTTCCTAACGCCTAGTGACAAAGCTAGCTACATTTCTGAGGACCCTTAGCTACTTTCTGTAGAACTTTCTTCTAGATATTTCCTGCAAATTAGCAACAAAATAGCCATTTTTGCTCCGAACCGTTCTTTGGACTGATGTTGTTTCAGCTGTCATCAAGGATATACATGTTACAGATACAAATTACGTCACTGGTGCTTTAGCTCGCCTAGTAAGACGTCGGACTCTCGTGTAGAAGTCCTGGGTTCGATTCTGGATGTGAACATAGTTTATTTAGAGTTTCTTTTTTACATTAATGGTATATTTTTTTTACAGTAAGATGCCCAAATTTTTATTTGAGACTCGCCGAACGGCATTGAATTCACAGATAAAAAGATGTGGGTTCAACATTCATTTTGGAACAATTTTTCAAGCAAGGGAAGGGAATGATCTGAGCATGCAGGAGGACTGACCCATCTTAAACCTTTGTCGGCTGTGCTGAAGAGAAAGGTACAGAACCAAATTATTTAATTAATTAGCTGCGCGTTCTCCTGTTCCCCCCCCCCCTTTGTTAAGGAGTGTGACGTACAGCATGCGCGCCTCGTGCATGAGCCTACTATTGAAGCTGCCGTTACGCTTTTGGCCAGAGGGGGCAATCGCGAGCATAAAAATTCAAAACTCCGTAAAGTCCCTTTAAGTTAGCATGGCTGTGTTCTTAAACAGGTGTTTGAAGGTCACCTGGTGATGGAACTGATATCAGGTCATTCTATTTTAAGTAGGATCTAAAGGGAGACTTAAAATCCAGATCTGCTGTGTTTATGTGTTTTTTCTTTCTTTTCTGTCATCACAGGTGACAAAGAGGGACCTGGAGCAGCGCCATCCTCAGCTGGAGGACATCTTCACCCTGGCACAGAACATTAAAAACAAAACCTCTAGTCTGGACATTCGCACATCTATCACTGAGAAATGTACGTACCCAGCAGGGCGGCATCGAAGAACAAGGATGTCTAAAAATAAAAGTGTGTTTTTGTTTTAAAATATGCATCTTTTCTCTGGGTTTAGTGGAGAAAGTGCACAGCCAGTGGGACAGCACTCAGCACGGTGTTGAAGCTCGCCTCCAGCAGCTGGATAACATGATCGCCCACAGCAACCAGTGGGAGGAGAAGAGGAAGGAGGTGAAGGCCCTCATCGCAAACGGCGAAGGACGTTTCCACCACCTCCTTCAGCGGGCCGGCGATCCCCTGACAAAACAGCTGGAAGACTGCAAGGTCAGGGCAGATTTTCACTGTCTTTGCTCCGTTATGTCCGCTGCCTCTGTGATCCTTCGTCCTTGTCCCTGAGCCGGACGCCTCCTCCAGGGAATACGTCCTAATGGGAAGAAGAAAAAGCCCGACTCGACTCTGCAGCACTTTAGAAGTCTCCGGTACAGCCGTCTGAGTCTGTAAAGGGAGGAATAAATCGCCTCTTTGAAGTTTCACTTTGAACCCTAATATCAGCTTTAGAGGACTTGGTGTTAGCGAACAGGTTCAGTCTGAGGCAGTACCGAACCCGAACACTAGAGGGCAACTGAGATTAACTCAATCCAACATGTTACATAAACACCTGCTGCTGTTGCTTTGAGTGCTCACATCCTGATGAGCAGTTGTCTTTTTTATTGTCAAATTTCAATTTAAAAGAAAGTTATGTGGTTTAATTGACATAAATCTGAATTAATAATAACAACAATAATGCTTTCAATCTTATTTAAGCAGAGTTTAAATAATGACCAGAAGAAAAAGACTTTTAATTGTATTTATTTATTTAATGTGAGTGAAGCTTTTTAATCTTGCATACTAATCTAATTAAAATCAATCAGTGTAAAAAATTATTAATCACTAAAAAAGTCAAGAGAGTTCATAATGTGTTCATAATTTCAGCATCACTGGTCGGCTATTTGTTTCACAGGAAGTTTCCCAAACTCTGGGTCGAGACCAGGCCGCCATTACGGCCTTCACCGATCTGTCCAATCACCTCTCACGAGAATATTCTTTGGATGACACCAGGAGGGTCAGTGAGGTCACAGAGAAGCACAGTGCAGCCTGGAGCAGCGTCAACAGCAGGTACTGGAAAACCAGTCTGCCTCTGCAGCTTTTACCACGTCTTCTTTTGGGTTTGACCCGTTTGTGTTTGCAGGGTGAACAACCGCCGCGCCCAGCTGGACGCCGATTTAAAGGGAGTCCAGGGGTCTCTCCGGGAGCTAGAGTCCTTCCTCAGATGGATCCAGGAGGCTGAGACGACCATCACCGTCCTGTCCGACTTCTCACAGAGGGAGGATCTGTTGCAGGACCCGGCTCACGTGAAGGAGCTGAGGCGACAACTGGAGGTAGGGCTGGAAACCGACGGAAGCAGTGTGTGGAAATCATGCACAGGTGCCATCTGAACTGAAGCTGCAGTGTGTGTTGTGTGTGTGTGTGTGTGTGTGTGTGTGGGATGGGGGGTATGGTTATGTTAAGGGCAGCGGGCATTGTGAGCTCATGTGAAATCTTGTGGCTCATTGATGGTATTGTCCCGTGCTGCTCAGATATGTGTGTGTGATTGTTTTTTGGCTTTACTTTTCCTGTGTAATGGTTTAAAAATATCACGTCTTTTTGCATTTTTAATGTAAAAACAGATCAGAGTTCTGGAGGAAAATCACACTGAGGTCCACACACCTTTCCTTTAAGGATGTATTAATGTGATCCATCATTCTAAGAACAAGTCCCACAGGATTTCTGTCACAACTTTTTTTAAAAGTTTATTTTGTGGGGTGAATGATGTCATTAAGTCAGAGCTGAACACTTTCTAACAGCTCCTTTCTGATGTGAAGTCTCTGCACCGACAGATTGATTGTTTGTGAACCGGTTGCCACTCAGAGTCGCTCTCTTTATCCTCATTTTTTGTTTCATTGCTGGTTCAGAGTGACGGACGGGAGTCAGGAATAGAAACTGGGTTAATGAAGCAGAGACAGATGTTAAACCTCAGCTGATGAGCTGAGAGGCGACCGCTCTGCCACGGTCCAGAGTTTAGTTACTTTAATTACCACGTTTTGGCTTCTGGCTGTGATCGTTCTGACTGCTGTTTCCATGTTAGACATGTAGGGTAGGTCTTAGTCAGTCTGAGGATTACACTTCCTCTGAGGATGCTGTGGTCAGAGCAGAATTTAGTGAGTTGGATAGAAACAGTCATGATTGTTGCTGATTGTTGCTTATTTGGAACTCAAATGAGTTTTTGATTACATTTTTGTGTTTTTGTGAGTACATCGTTGTGAGTACATCAGGGTGGACCTTTATGCGAAAAGTACATTTGACATCAGCTAATTTTCTCTAATTTAACCCTGTTATTGCTTCTTATCATAAATCACCCTCTGCTCTTTTTTCATTTGCAACCATCGTCCACAGCCCGGGCCGTTAAACGGATAAGTACCAGAGTGTGGTCGTAACTCCAGAGGCATCATGGGAAGATACGGAGATAATAGCTTTTTATCAGAAATGTGCAGAGAGGCACACAGCTTAAAGAGGTGATGTTTATCGTGCTTGACGTGTGTGTGTTAGGCTCGGCGTGTGGAGATGCGAACGTGTTTGTGCACCGAACTTTAGTGGAACACTAGTTCTGTTTCGTTCCCTCCTGACTGCCAGTGGCAGTAAACAGAGTGGATGTATCTCCTCGCGCTCTGCGCAGGTCGAGTACTAATGTAAACAAAGTCACGCACGTGACACGTAGCGCACCTGGTCGCGAGTCTATAAATTACGCGCCGATGGCTACGTTCGGGTCTCCCGGGATCTTCTCGTCCGAGAAGTTCCGAGTGACCCCTGTGACTGGCAGTCATCCAGGAACTCACAGAACCATAGTTACACCGTAACTTCCGTTATGATTTGTTTCTGCCAGGAGAATTTAGCCAGAGCCAACAAAACACTCAGTCCCACGCCGAGTCGGCCATCTGCGGTTCGACTTCTTGAGTCATGTAAACCCATCTTATTGTGTGTGTGTTGGTGTGTAAATCACTATTATGTGAGAATTCACTTATGCCTTTTATTGTTGCTGCCTTTTTGTTGCCCTTCTGTATAAACTAGACAATCTAGTTGTTTGTATTATAAACTAAACAGCATCTGTCTGTGAGTCAATTTGTGCAGAAAACATAATTATAGAGAACGGTCCGTTATGTCCACTCATCCTCGGCTCCTCTTTTGTTTTTATTTAGCTTCTTTTTTTGATGAAATCAGGAAAAAAGCTTTAATATCGATTTAAAATGTAATCTTGTCAGCTTTGATATTTTGGCTCCACCTGTTAACCAAATAAACAATGCAGGGTCTGCGTTTTAATAGATTTTTGCACTTTTGATATTGCTTATGCAGATATTGCAAATGTTTTGTTTTGGAGATCTACTTACCATTATGCTACTAATGCAACTACTACTGATAGATATGTATTTTGTTTTCTCCATCAGCCTGTAAACGTTGCCCTTTCAAAAATCTGGTAACGTGACTCCGATCGACCAAAAGCTAAAAAGCTGTTTTCGTTGCAGCCAGATAAAGTTTGTGCCTTTAATGTAAACATAATCTAATACATATATTTATGTGAACACATTCAATTCAATTCAATTCAAGTTTATTTATAAAGCGCCAAATCACGACAAGAGTCGTCTCAAGGCACTTCACATAATAAACATTCCAATTCAGGTCAGGTCATTAAGCCAATCAGAAATAATGTTTCCTATATAAGGAACCCAGCAGGTTGCATCAAGTCACTGACTAGTGTCAGTGACTATACAGCAATCCTCATACTAAGCAAGCATAAAGCGACAGTGGAGAGGAAAACTCCCTTTTAACAGGAAGAAACCTCCAGAG